AGGTTTTAGATCTCATTCTCAGTCAGGTGTTCTTTATTATTTATAAAGTTAAGACTGCTTTAATAACTATAGAAAGGTGTAGTTGAAGTTACGATTTTCATTGTAAGGTCCAGTAACATAGTTTGAGAGCATCTTGAACGAAGTCGGCTCGGAGTTGTTAGTGGTGAGCGAGTAAACAGTTTCAAACACGATATCAAGACGTCCCGGACACAGGGATTCTCAACCATTAGGTACATTTAATGATAATATTATTCTATTCTATTCATGAACATTTGGATCCATAAAATATTAATATTTTTATCAAACCTAAGATTCTGGTAAAGTTCAAATTTACCAAACGTTTTGAACTACTGATCTTTGTCATTGTTTATACAATAATCTGTTTGCGATCCTATCAAATTCTATTAATTGCAGTATACCAAGTATAATTTTATCACAGATTTCATTTCTGTAATTTAGTTACACTACTATATGTCATATTAATTTGTATTAAGAGATAAAAGAAATTATCCACATAGACAGACAATAAAACTGGCATATCTCTATACATTTGATTGAATCAATTTTATTATAATTTCTAAGTAGCCGTTATATTATTTTGGTATTCATATATAAACGTCTATTATATTTTCTATTAACATAACAATGTCATAATTTTCGTAATACAAATTGGAAATCTCTGACTTGAGCAAATACATCTCAGCAGCGATTCAAGCAGGCGACTGACGACAACCACTTAGCAGCTTCATTGTACGCGCGTTCCTTCAGAATATAGAGTTTATAACGTTCAGACTGGACAACAGCTTTCAATAGAATGGTAAAAATATATGTTTAAAGTTTTTTTTAATTATAGGACTCTTTTGCATTAAATTTCCTATATTTATATCTATTTAATTCTACTTCAAGACAAATCAATTTACTTCATAAATAATAGTCAGTAATATGTACTGTATGACAAATTTCCACAATTGAGTTTGATACACCAACAGCCTAAGAGATTTAAACTAAAATACAAAAAAAATCTCTATTAATTAAGCATTTTACACTGATTACAAGAAATTATTGATATATATTCAAATATACTTTAAGTAAAAAATATATATAAATGATTTATCACTAAAATGCCCTCTCTATATATTTTTAGGTGTTGTATGAAGATCGCTGAAAGCAAGTCGCTGTGTGACTTCCGTAGATAGTTCTCAGTTGACACGACCACCCCTCCCCCCCTTGCTCGCCCCCCCCCCCCCTCCAGGCTGCTGGGATGTTCTGCTAGTGCTGGGATTAGTTTGTTATACTATTGACTCGACATTCACCTACACTCGTACAACAACAATATTATAACACTTTGACTTAACTTTGAACGTGACATTTTATGTTATATCATTAATTTTTTTAATTCCATTGTTTGTATGTAATGTTTTACTGATCGTTAGACAATAGATATTAGAAATTGTATTACAGTCATTGACATGGTTGAAGCGTGAGAAACATAATGACAAAGATTAATGTAACTCCTCATATAATACGAGTAAGGATTAAATTATTATATATTTCGTATCGTATACGTTGCAATATCCTCATTAAGATTTAACGTTTGCATTCTCGAGTACGTTAAGACGATGTTCATATCTTAACTAGCAAGATTAACTTATATTTAAGTCGATGCTATGGTAAGAAATTGTGACAAAACAGTAAGGAATTAACTTTAAAATATTCTTAGATCCAAAGACACACAAAGTAATATATATATTTATAAATTCTAGTTACCAAAGTATATGTTATTTTTTTATTATTAGTAGTTTAAATGAAACTAATATTTATCGGATATACTACGCGGTTTATTATTGTGAAAAACTACATCACATCTCTTCTGTTCGTGATCACGGTTGCTGTAAAGTAACCGAAACGTCGGGAGTATGTAGTCCCAAAAATATTAGTTACATTTAAATGAATAAAACTCCCGAAAGAGATCTCATTGTTATTAGTAGTCTTCTTAAAGCGTTCGAATCTATACTTTAACTGTTTTTATTGATATAAAAGTTTCAAATCTTATCTCATTCAACTCTAAATGCCTCCCAGCTACAGTTTAGTTGTAACATAAAGTTAACTGTTAATTTGATGAAAGCCTGTAGTGTTAGTACTGCGAGTCTGAGACCATCTCGACTGTAAGAGATCGGGGAATGAGATTACAGCATCATTTGTTGATGTTATCTTATATAGTTGTTTATGAAACAAGGATTCCCACTGATAGCGTTCCGCTGAATGTGTTTAAATAAAGTATAACTTTTTTTACCATTCCCTTTGTTGATAATTTGCATTAAATAAATATAAAAAAATATGCCTTTGTGTAATGTTTCCTCGTAAATCGTTTAATCTTTCGTCGCTTACTGAAATTTTAAACCGATTTACAAAGATACTGGGTGTGAGCTTTGTCCAGGTAGAAGCGTTAAAAAGAATTTATTCCTGGTATTAATATTATTATTAGTTATAAATACTTTACCGTGTAATCGGCAGACCCTGGCTAAAGCTGGGAAATTGCCAGGAAGAAGAAGAAGAAGACTATACCGTATAAGTAACCAATCTAGATAAGTATAGCTCGCACGACAGAGAGGTCTCTTGAGTTTTATAAATGATAAGTTAAAAGAAGTAAAATCGTTCATACAAAAAACTATTCTATACACATTATTAGACAAAATTCGATCCATCATAACCCTTGAAACAAGGCAATCAATTTAGAATCCATTACTACGTCCTGATCATGGCTGTAGCCAATAGGATGATGACGAGGGTATTCTTACACCAGACGCTCGATATACAACAACATTTGTGACGAATTGGTTAATAATAATTATTACAATAAAAGTAACATTATTATTTCATAACTCGCTTTCCGCCCGCAGCTTCGTCCGCGTGGAGTTCGGTTATATCGCGTTTCGGAAAGTCTGGGATAAAAACTATCCTATGTTCTTTCTCAAGGTCTACTCTATCTCTGTAAAAAATTTCATAACAATCAGTTCAATGGTTTAGGTCTGAAAGCGTAACAGACAGACAGACAGACAGAGTTACTTTCGCATTTATAATATTAGTAGGGATGTTCGATCTTTTAAGATTTATATATATTTGTGTCAATTCTGTATAAGTTTCGTGTTCATTATGAACGAGTAACGAGAGTGATTTCGGAAGAATGTTCAACAGAGCACAAGCAACGTGGTTATATGTATACATTATGTTAAATCATTTATATATAACAAATAAATTTACACGATGTTATCAAATAATCTATATTCATTTAAATGTATGTAATTAAATGTACCGTAGATCAGTTTCTGATATACAATCGATATGAACGCCAACGCACATACATTTTACCCGCCGTTTGATCATTGTGAGTTCACCTGTCTTCCCACACAAATACCAAATATTATCGTATCATATCTCCGTAACTAAAAACACTATTAAGTTTAAAATATTTCCTAATTTAATTATAGTCCGTCTTATCTCTCAATCTCTTTATCTAACAATAAAGTTAATTGTGATTTATTATGATTTTATTACATAATTATATGAGGAATGAGAATTTAATCTACAATTTATTACATACTTGAGTTTAGTTTTTGTGGAGATCCAAAAAGCATGTATCTTCATACATTAAATTTTATTTATTAAATTATTTAACCTCTATTCAGTTTATGTATTATTATCATTAATAAAACATTATCTACAACTTTATGTAAGACAAATTATTTTTATAATAATCGTACAAAATTTAATGTTCTTTTAAACTACTTTAATATCAATGAGATTAGGTCCCTTAAAATACGTTTATTTCGTTTGAATACGTAAACAATAATTTAAATCTGTTGTATTGAATTTGCTGAAGAATCTTTATTTTCTACAAATCAGTCTTATAAACTTCTTGTAGCATATTCTCAATACCAAATGTATTTTATATTTATAACTGAATTTCGGCAAGGTTATATTAATTGACCTCTCAACAGTATTTTTGAAGTAGGTACAGACTAAGGATATTATTTAAAGAAGTAATATTATTTCATTAATATTATCTAAGGATCATTACAAGATACAAAGAACATTGAGACTAAGATTTTATTCGTAAATCCCTTAATTTAAAATTGTATAACACGAAACAATCAAATAAACAATCATACGATGAAAATCAGTTTCTTAAATTAAGTTCTACAATCCTCTACAAGTTTTTATGTTTGTGATATTTGAAACAATAGGCTAAAAAACAATGGTACTACTAACGCCATCTCTTTTAAATTTTCATAACTCACACAGATATTAACGAAGTTAAATAGTAAAAATAAAGCTTTGATATTAGGCTTCGTCAATTAATAATACAAGTACATAGTAAGAAAAAAGCTACCAAAATACTAATAATCAAAGGCACTCAGAGCTTAAAAAGCATGCACCCCGTAAAGAGTTGTTAATCTTTTAGCAAATATAAAAGTCATTAAAGTTTTCAAAGCGTGAATCACGAAGAGTGCGTCGATATAAAGACCGTTCCGACCGCAAAGATGACGCTCAAACTAAATTATTAGTTCGCAGCGAACCGTTTACCCGGACCAAGTCGGCGGCTATTCAATTTCCCTCGCCATGCATCTCTGTCGCCGTGTAGCCTTTGACTCCGCTCTGCATATTTTATATAAGCCTTTCATCAAAGGCGTTCTAGTAATTTTTACCGCGCGCGAGCGAGACGCCTAACGAACGGGGTGTCAAACGGCGGTGGGGATAAGACGCCAAAGCTCCCGCAAAGTACACAAGATGCAAAAATGGCGCGGCGTCGAGTGACAACGTGTCAGAGGGGGGCCTCTAGCGCTGGCAGCCAGCATTGAACTCAGTCTGAGTCGGACCGTCGTACGGAGTGCACGTGTTAGTAATACATAGAACCTGTGGCTAGTGAGTGATGTGCTGACTCGTGTGGTGTTTACTGTGCCATATTTACACTGGAGAAGGATAATATATTGTGGAGCAACATGCTCACTTCTAGTAATCAGTATTTGAGACCGGATTATCTGTCGCCTTTGCCGACCACGGTACGTTCATATTTAATAGGAATATATTATTTGTTCGATCTATACTTAAAGATAGTAAAAAAAATACTTATGTTTCCCCTCTTTTCAAAATATTAATTAAAATCTGTCAAGACTGCCGCGAATCCGTTAAAATTATTTATGATCACGACTTTCAATAAATAAACTTATTCGATTTTGTTTTCGTATGGCAAAAATAATGCAATTTAATAATAATGCAAAAAAGGTTGTAAATAAAACGTACATTAATTCTTGTTAAAGCTTTTTAAAGATGCGACTAATATACAAGATCCTCGTCATAATAACGTTTTAACAAAAATGAATGAAGCAATTCAAACTCTTAATTAATAGTCGCTGGAAGTACTCCAACAACATTAATAAATGAAAATATGTCAGATATACATAAAAACGGCATAAACACGCAATATTCCGAGTAAAACATTCAAATTAAAATGAATGATTACGATGCGAAGAGTTCTTTTGAAATAAATTAATAATGTTACTACCATTAATATTTTACATTAATAAATATCAGAAATTCGTTTGACATCGTTAAAGTTTTATTGTTACAATTTTTTTAATAAATATTTTATTTGTCTGGAAACAGCTGAAATAATAATTTCAGGAATAAAAGTCGAATCATTCTCCTAAACAATTTTTTTAACTTTAAATAAATGCTTCCAGTCGGTGTTATTAAATAACATAGAATTACGTTCTCTATATTAAAATTTATAAGAATTTAATTAAAAAGTATGTCGGTATTTTATTCTATCGATTCTTCTGCATCTTACTATTTTCATCAATATTACAATAAAGACTTCATTTGAAATAAAACCCATTCCATAAACAGGGAACGGTTAAAGTAAAATAATATTGTCAGGTTCGTATAAGTAAAACCGTATTCAAACTCAAAAATGTCGTAGTCATATGCAAAACATAAAACAAAATCATCCCCTAAAATGTTCGGCTCAAACTAACGCCGCTCCGTGATAATAGACGTGACAGCGCGGCAAGTACAGGCGCACCGCAAATTCAGCGGCACAAATTGGCCTTTTCGCTGCGAGATTACATCATGCGGGAGCCGAGTGAAATGTCAAGCGAGGCCGTCGGCTGCCAGACGCGCGGATAATGGCACGTCGACCGCGTGATTGGACCCACCCCCGCCCTCCAGCCCGACAGCCCGCCTCGGGGCACCCTCGCTCCCTTTGTGCCGTCACTCGCAATCCGACGTTTCATTTCATAAACCTCTTTGTTGCAGCTCGACGCGAAAAAGAGCCCGTTGGCACTACTCGCACAGACCTGCAGTGCGATCGGCGCTGACACACCCAACCCCAAGCTGATATCTGCCGCGGAAAAAGCGAGCAAAAAATACGAAGACAAACCGATGCATGTGGATAACAAACCGAGTTTTAAGCCTTATGAGTCGTGCCTGACGAGAGAAAAGACTAGAACGCCCGAAGACAGGTCCGCTTCGGTTAACGCTCATCCTAAAACACCGTCTTCTAAGGGCAGCGCTTCGACGACTCCCGTTCAAGCCCGATGTCATAGCAACCAAAGTTCTTCATCACAGAGAACGTCACCTCCAGCTCATCGCAAAACACCGTCGGAAAAATCGGATGAGAGATCAAGCCCACTGCACTCACCCGCTCAAACCAAATCAAGTTCAGAATCTAGCTCATCTGCGAAGTTACCATATCCTCACACTAGTTTAGCGTCCACCGCTGACACCAAAGAACCCTCAAGTTTTAAACCCAGCATACCAGTCAGTTCTTCAGCTTTCCTCGGTGGATTGCCTCCTACCGGATTCCCGTTGCATATGGATTTAATGACTAGTAGCATAATGGCAGCTCAACACCAAGCTTTAAAGAACGGATTGAATCCTTATCTTGCCTATGCCCGAATGAAAGCTCCCGGCGGCGATCTAGGTATGTGTAGAGATCCATATTGCACCGGATGCTCTCTAAGTTCGCATTTATTAAAATCTGCAGTATGTCCAGCTGGCTGTGCCCAATGTGATCATGCTAAAACTCCGTTTCCATTACCAGCGAACCATCCAGCAGCGGCGGCATACGCTCACGCACAACTAGCGGCTCTCGCTGCCGCATCTCAACTACCATTCGTGTGCAGTTGGATGGCCGGTGACTCTGCATACTGTGGCAAGAGATTTGCAACTTCGGAAGAATTGCTGCAACATTTACGCTCCCACACGGCCAGTGGTGAATCCAGTCCTAGTCTGTCCATGCTAAGCGCCACTCACCCGCTCCTCCAGAGGACGTACCCGACCCCGCCCCTGTCTCCGCTGACTCCTCGTTTCCATCCATACAGCAAGCCCTCTCACCTGGTCTCCTCACCGCCTCTGCCGTTTCCTCTCCCGCCACATCCATCGCTAGCAGCCTATTTCCCCTCCTATCCCCTCTTCGGACCGCGTCCTCTTCACCCTTGAGGACCGTCGGCGCTCCACGCAAACAAAAAGGGGGGCGCCGACAACTAACGCCCACGCCAAAAGGACATTCGGAACTGAAGAAAGTGTAAATATATGATAGTGTTCTTCTAGTTTCTAGTCGGCTCATATCAAGACGGACATAACCCTCCGGGGTGCGACAGCTGTGATCTCTAACTTGTAATATTGGTAATGTTTTAGTGCACCGACTTTGTCTGTGTCCGCTATCGCTTCGTCCGAGCGCGGTTATAATTTTCTAGTTAGACTAACAGAATTTTATGTACCAAATAAATAACGTAATTTAATTAGTTCGTAATTTAAGTTGTTGCAATTATTTAGTGAGGATTGTTAATTGTGTTTCTATTTTTAATAATAATGTGTGTATTATTTGGCAAAATATTAATCAATAGGTATCATTGCGACTATCGAATAAAATTATACTGTGGTTGGTTATTTGTTTAATTAATTATATAATTTGGTATATCTGTCCATGCGTTAACTTTGACCTCGATGCTTGTTGCTATGGCACAATTGTAATAGATTTCAAAGTAAAACTTACATTTAAATAAAAGAAAGCTAAAATACATTGTTTGTACTAGAATCTATATACCCTAATAGATGCAATAAGTATCTGTTGACGAATGTTTGTTGTTAAAGCGTACATAAAATGAAAATATACGTAAATATTTAATTTCACATTTTTTGTTTTGTTTTTATATCCTCTTCATTACATAGACCCAATAAAAAGATATGATTTTTCAAGAACAAATAAAATTACTGAATGAATTTATTATAAGACCTTCAATAGTATAGATATAATATTATCAGAGAGAGAAAACAATAAATAAAAAACACCAAGTATTAACTATAAAGCTGTTTAGTTTTGCAACTTCATAAAAGTCTGACAATCATTATAAATGCTGTTGATTTTCTAAACTAATAAATATAACACCCACCTTAGTTAAAGATACAAATAATGTCAGTATATCTGTAATTCCGAATATTAAATTATAACGTTCATAAATTCGCCTTGCCGAGTCAAACCGGACGCTTTCATAATAGACCCCTAAGATAATAATCACAAACCATTTTTCTCTCATGAGTCAACTGTGCAACGAGGATAATTAGGCACTGCGGCTTCTATACAATAAATTATGAGCAATTTATCTGTCCGTCTGTCACCATACATCATGTTACGTTGTACATTCGCTAGCGTTGAAATATTATGACCATTCCACGTTCATATTGTTGACGCCTTTATATTATCTTTCATAGCAGCGTTTAATCACTCCTCTGTGATATATCTTGTTTTATTTCGATACTGGATTTTTTTTTATACAAAATATGTTTACTTTATTGCGTATTTTCTGTAAATACAATGTAACGGTCGCCCTTACTAGCTACTACTCGTAGTTATTGTTTGTTTGTGCTCTCTGAATAGATAAGTGTTGTCATCACGATTTAAACATATCTTATTGGGACATCAACTTGAATTTGTTTTGCACTTGATGCATTATTTAAAGAACTTAATTTATCCGATGTTTAAATATTAGTTTGTTGTAAAGTGGAATATTTTTAAAACCAATAGTCAAGTAATCTGAACGTTTCAGTACTTCAATGAAATAATTATGCTTTCATAAAATAAATTATAGGTAGGTAATATATATCTTTCGAAGTTCTGAAAACAATTCAATGGAAAATAAAACAATGCAGGGAAAACTGGAGATCTATACATATAATAGTTATTATTATTGATCAATTGTATTGAATACAGATAATAATGTAACTATTTCCAAGATTTGATGCCGTTAATATAAGGAAAACCGAAAAATAAGACAATTATCGTTATTTAAACATTACGTATTGCTTGTAAACAAGGTAACTTGTACTTAGAGATGTTTCACATTGACGTGAATCAATATTGATTCAAACAATTTATCTCAAATCAATATTTATCGATATATTATTGTCACATTACTATTTATAGTTCTTATATATATATAAAGTATGCAAAAGGTCGTTATCGTATTTAACAAATGGATTGTGAAATTTTCTGTTAATAACTTGACAAATAACTTAAAGGTGGCAGTGACTGCGTTATCTTTAGAAATCAATTTGCACATAGCTATTTATTCTGATGTTATTAATAACTTCAAGAACTTTATCTATCCAATATTGCTAATAAGTGGTGTTAATTTATAACGCTGAGATAATGTTTGAAAGATTTGAACTGAGCTCTATAAGGTCTCAGGAATCTTTATTGTCTAAGGATCACGGGATTTTCTAAGCTTTGAGTGTTGTCGTTAAGAAAAGGAGGATAATATAAATTTGTGAAACTTGAATGATAATATTATTTCAGAAACAATCAGGATTAAGATCGTATACTGGTATAAAACCAAGATTTTTAACTATAAAGTATAAAGCATCTTCAGTGAGGCACCACTTAGACATGTAACTTGAAACATTCCTAAAATAACATTACCATAGAATGTATTTCTGTCATTTTCTACATAATCCTTTAGTCCTTAGTACATGATAATATCTAAAAGATAACGATACAAAATGTTTTCATTAGTAAATAGTAAGCCACCACCATTTTAATTTATTATTTAGAATTAATCAGTTTTCAATAGGTTTTTCTTTTTGAATTAAATTGGCAACTAGCTTCTCAATATTTGAAATTAATTGCAAAATAACTTCAGACGAAATCAGGACGTTTGAACTGAATAAAAAGAAATTGTTTGATCTCTGAATAAATAGATTCAGTAGTCGAGTTTCGACCAAAGCAATACGAAGTATAATGTAATAAAACATTATTCTTACAATAAACATAGAATCATCTGATTTAGTCGAAGAGTATTTCATAAAAAGACCTAAAAAAGAATAAAACGAGTCACAGTGGCTGACACTAATGTGTTTTGAAGAGCGGCGACTTCAAAGAGCTTACGTTAATCACTCTTCCAGTCGACTGTACGATGCTTATCTGCCTATTGCATCAAATTATATTGACATTGACTTAGACGGCTATATATTATTACAGCGGTTTAAAAAATAACCACTCACAAATTGCATATTACACGACGGTATATCAACAAATACGATATAAATCATCCTGTGGTAATATGTAGCGATCTAAACTAGATATAAAACAGCTTCTTACTTAGAACCTTCAAAGGTACTGCGGAGTAACTCGAATGGGTTTATTATTAAACTGGTCAAGAATCTCGAAACGTAAATAAAATTCCATCCGTCAGTTAAAAATACACTTCAATAAAACATGAGTAAGGAGCGAGTACAATTAAAACCATAATCCATTAAAACATACAAAACATGAAGACTTTCTTTTAAAAGGGTGATTACAGTCACAATACGACACCAAGACGTCATATAAACAAGGCCGGGCCAGTTTTTCTCGCCCCTGTACTGTTACCGCGGCAGATCAAAGAGGCGGCGTCTTTGAAGACTCGTTGCAAGCGCGGGAGCCGAGACAACTATTTTTACTAGCGACGGCTCCGACTTTGCCTATCGTTGTATTTTAAGAATTTAACAGAATTTATACTGAAGATATATCTTATATTCTTCTACTTCAACATTTATTTTACTCAAATAAAACATAAATTTATATATAACAATAACTTTTAAATGATTTCAACTTAATTCTACGTCACACATGTACTATCTGAATACAAAGTAATGTTCTTGTAAGTAGTTCTCGTTATTAAGAGGTCTGACACAGAGGCAATACAAAAACACTTTAACATTAAAAGTCCTTCAATTTAAATAGATTTCAAAGAAAATCACTGTTGTTGTATAAACATTTCACGATCTAATGCATTAAATGAAGACTGCCTTTAATGTTGACTGACAGACTGACAAACACGCATCACGCTGATATGACGAGATATATCCGTCTTAAAAGTTTTTTTAATTAAAAGTACTTTGATATACAAAGGCTTTGAATGTTCTTTTTAAAAAAATTATAAATGTATTACAATTGAACTTGCTATATATGTTTGTATGTTAGAGTCATTTTATATTGATTAATATCAAATTAAATTTAACATAACAATCATAGTCGTAATAACTGACGTTATTTTAAATCAAAAGCGACGATGCCCAATGATGGCGGACTACTTATTTTCGTGGACTGAGAATGTATATAAAAAAACACAAATGAATCTCCTGAGAAGTTGTCAAATCTAATAAATATTAGATACTTCGTTTCAAGATATATTTTTTTTTATTTTAGATACCTAATGGTTAAAATCTTTTCATTTAATTGGAAGTATTAGTTTAAATTCAAATAGCATTTTCCTAAATCGGTGGAAATTAAAATCAAACGTTAAACGCCTCGATTCAGCCATTAAGCGTTATCTTAAGAATATACTGAAAAAAAGAAACAAAATAACCCACCACAGGGTGACGCACAAAGGAAGTCGGAAGCACATAAACCTGTCTGTTTACGAGGCACCTGATAAGAAACATCCTTTATATATCCTGATGGAGTCAGCTCGGAAGGAACAAAGAGTAAGGATTAGGTTCTCCACACTAAAAAAAAACTTCAAACCTAAAAATACCTTCCATTCAACACATCGTTCAATTATAACGTATCAAGAATTAAATATTTAAAAACAACACGTCAAAGAGGTTTATCTAAAACGAATATATTATCTGAGAGGTCGTTAGTTCGTTAGTTTTAGTGTTAATAAGCCAGGCCCCTAATTGCTCTCATAAACTTTGTATGTAATACAAACAGATTGTCTATTTATGTGCCACAGAGTTTGTACTCATTAGAAGTGACGACCGTATATAAATGTAAAAAATATATAAGGTTTTTCTAAAACATCATACAATCAATTTCTAAGTCATTAAAATGAAAAAACTGACTACAAGTCGTTATAATTTTCCCTAGACATCTAATAGAATGATTATTGCAATTACTGGTCTTCATTATACAGAAAATACTGTACCTTCACTTTACGGAATAAGCCATTTTGTTGTTT